GTAGGTAGTTGTTGTTCTGAGTATATATATATATATATATATATATATATAAATACACGTACATACGCGTATAATAAAAAATATCACGTAAACAAAGTATAGGTGCCAAGATGTCATCCAACCAGCCGAGGATATCATAGCAGCCAATAGGGCTTGGGTTGACGATCTGACTGCTGAGGAGGCCGATGCCCTGACATACTTCTCTGGAAAAAAAAAAAGAAGTTGCATGGCAACCAGGTATTATTTGTTATCTTAGACACTGTTCATGCGACCCTTACGTGCGTCTAAATACGATTCACAGTGTATGGTCAGATACTGGACAGCAATGAGATAGACTCGTATACTGTACGAGGTGAATATTGTCGACTTCACCTATATGACTTCAACTTCCAGACTCAGTGCATGAACCAATCTTTGTTCGTAGGGACTATCGTGTGCATTCACCCTATCGTGTGAACGGATACATGTGTGTGACGAATACATATACAGCCGTGCAGACTGAGGTGTGCTTCTAGCAAAAAGGCGTGTATTGAATATGCGAGTATACGTGCAACGTACAAACCTGTAGTTGTAGCTTTACTTTCGTGCGTGGAGAATGTATGTGTAGATGTATGTATATACACTTGTGTGTATTACAGTCCCGTAGATAAGCATACCCAGGCGAGCTCACATGATTATATATTCAGGCTCAATTGCTTGTGTCTCATTTGGTTGTGGCTGCGCATATACAATACTATTCTACTTCTCGTGAGTACATGCATTCTATCGTACAACACACGCACATATCCCTCACCAAGCATTTGAGAGACCCATGATCTAAATATAGCGTGCGAAGCAGGACACCTATAGTCTATTTTGATACTTCAGTAGCTGCCTATGACTAGGAACTAATGCGAAACAATGAGTTGGAATTATTGTTATTTGTATATAAATTGTTTTGGAGTTGTTATATAGATACTATGTTATTTACAATTAAGAAGCAAACTCATGATTGTTAGAATGATAGTATCCTTTATCGGCGCATGTTCATTTGCAGGATATCATATCCGCAGCTACGCAAATCTTTCGTGTGTATTGCAATTGCGAATAGTTAGTTGTAGTTGCTTAATCTTTCGTGTGAATTACAATTGCGGATAGTTAGTTGTAGTTGCTTAATAGTTATTTGTGGTTGCTTGATAGTCAGTTGTAGTTAATCTGTGGTACATCGTTGTGTGCCACATAATTAGTTATCAATCACCACTCACATTGAGATCGCACACGTTTCTTTTGCTGGATAGTTTAGAGTTATTTCACTTCGTACATACTTTATGCCTATTGGATTTAAACTGTAGACTACAATCCGTGAGCGGAATGCGTTCATAAAGCGATTGGTCTGTCATTCCGACCGTGGGAACAACACTCACAGCCACAGTGCTAGGTGAACCTCTCCGGTGGACACTCTGGTCTTCTCACGAAGTGTCGTATCCTTTTATTATCCGTCTTTCAACCAATCATATTCTTCTATTGTCCGTCGCTCAACCAATCATATCCGTTTATTATCCGTCTCTCAACCAATCATATCCGCTTAATATCCACATCTCAACCCAATGAATCGCCAGAGATGTCGCCTCGATGTCTGCACCTCCAGATGTGCTGCGCTATATGCCTCCGATGGAGTCCTGCGTGCGCTTCTATTACGGTCAACGCAAGTTCAACAAGAAACACGGCGACCGTCTCTGTGCGCTATGGGCCGGCATGGATTCCTCGGCGAAGGAGAAGCTGATTGAGGCGTGTGCCATCGGCTGTCTAGATGGAGAGGCGATCAGAATGCGGGGGGTGATATAGGCGGCTCACGGGGGATGATCACGCTAATGCCCGACCACAACTTACGAGACCTGGCCCACGCAGCCACCGGGATCACTCGCATACTCAAACGCCTGGCTGCGGCTGAAGATATTCGTGAGCTGTACTTTGAAGACGCGGTACGCACACGGGCGTTAGTCGCAAGCAGACGCCTCAAGAAGAGATCCGGCCCGTACACGTACATGGTACTGCATAAAGATGTACCGCAGATCATCGAGTTTCAGAACCCACGACGTGACACAGAAGCGCTGGCCACTATGCGGGAGTATATCGCACAGGGCCACGCCTACGAGGCGAACGTTTTCCACGTGATAACAGATCTGGAGTACTACTCGTGGATGCTGGTCGCCGTGGTAACGGACGAAGTGGCGACGAACGTCTTCAACCGGGAGGCGCGTTTGGTCATTGGGAACATCACGCTGTGCAATAACTGCGGTGCTGCGCCGGTGGGTAGCAATAACTTGCTGAGGTGTGCCAACTGCCGAATGGCCAACTACTGTAACGCCCAATGCCAGAAAGACCACTGGCAAACACACAAGTCCGAGTGCAGGCGCAATTTAATTGACGATACGCTCGACCCAGAACTCGACTAGATGGACCAACCCAGGCAACTCAGGCCGAGGTGAAGAAGGGTGTGCTGCACCACCTGGGTAGTGAGTAGCCGCGTTGCTATGGTATCTCAGCCGTTGAAAGGCCCGCTTTGATTGGGCTTGCTGAAAATCACGAGCTACTTCGTATCACACACGTAGACCAGAGGCAAATGTCCTAGCCAGGTTGCAATGGAAGACAACCCAGCGACACACTAGCTATAGTTTGTTGTAGTTTTGAATGTCTGCGATGGTAGGTCTTCTCCATATATATACTTGCATGTTCTGTGTACAGGCCAACGAAATTTGCCATGCAAATGTTCCGTGTAGTATAATAGTCGTGAGAGGTGTGTGTGGGTATCAAGTGAGAGTGTACAGCGTGACACGTGGTGTGCCAGCTGGAAGTAGCACCAATATACGATGCGTAGGGGTCATTACGAATGCGTGTGCGAAGAATTGGTACGTATTGGTTTAGTTGTGCAGAAGAATTCACCCGAAAATACACACCCTAAATATATAAAACTGTCAGCTTTTGGCGGCCGATCGTCATAAATTGTCCAATTCCCATTGATTTCTAATTTCCAATTTATTTAGCGCATCCCCTTCACTACTGAAATTGGGATTTATTTCGTATTTCGGGAGCATGTCGGGGTGTTCTCGCCATATGTGTCTTTGTCATGTATACCATAGTGAATACAAGTATTCAACCTGTACACGGATCCTATAGGCGAATGCTATACGCGAATACTATAAGCGGCGCCTCACCGTTCATAAGTCATCATCCAGGTCTGGCCCAGGCGTGTATCTACCACTATCATCCGTCCAAGGCATGGCTCGTTTGGTAATGTCCTGATCAGTGCTCTCTCTGCGGTACTGCGATCCAATAGCCCGATCCTCGGGGAACTGCATGCTGATATACGGTATCTCCACACCACTCAGCGTCACTGTGCACGTCTCACACACCATGGGTAATCGAACTAACTCCAGCGCTTCTTCGATGCTCAGCTCGGGCTCGGATGTGGCCTGTATCGGTGTGTTGTCTGTGTTGGCCTCGGAGGTGTGTGGTGTCCGGGCGATTGTTTTGAGTGCGTTTACAAAGGGCATGGTGATTAGCAGGTCACCTCCGTGCGCAACATCCTCACCTGCGTGGTGAAAGAACAAATAGTACAGTCGTTAGTCTTGACATGTAAGTGTCTTAGTGGACAGATAGTACAGTAGTTAGTCTTGAGGTGGACAGATAGTACAGTAGTTAGTCCTGAGGTGTTATTGGGTTCTCGTCTCACGGATCATTTGCTCGAGACTAATACATCTCGCACAAAGTCGTACCTAAGCCAATATAGATGCACACATATTGATAGCAGGGTTCATGAGTGCCCCTACCCAGTTGGTGTATAATCATAAGCGAAGTCAATAAAATTCATTGTTTGCAGTCCGGGTGTTTTACATACCTCTGAGGACCAAATATACTAACAGAAGGCATTTGGCAGCGAACACGAACATGTGTGGACCATTATCTGACATACACCATGTGCACTATCAGATATGCTGCAGCAACACACCACACATCACGAGTGAGCCAAAGTCTTCGGCCAACCCGCGCCTCAGTGCACGAAAGGGTCACTAAACCTTTCAATTTACGTTCAGATTCCGGATAGTATCAGGGTGTGGATGGGCATGACTCTACGGTTGTAAGCATGGCATCCATGGGCCCATGCTAATTCACAAGCCATGTTAAAGGCGTCCTAGTGCCTCCTACATATAATAGTACTTTCCTATTGCCAGTTTTCACGGATAAAGTTCACACACACACACACACACACACACACACACACACACACACACACACACACACACACACACACACACACACACACACACACACACACACA